TGGCGGAATTAGATTTGTGTCTCAACTTAGCTAGATTATAGAGTAGTTGTAGCATCACTAACTTATTGATGAGAGCAAACTGCTTCGTCTCATCTACAGTAACATGAGAACGATGTGTGTCGTTATCTATCTATCTATCTATCTATCTATCTATCTATCTATCTATCTATCTATCTATCTATCTATCTATCTATCTGGCCTCTAGAGCGGCTGCTGAGGGTGTTGATGTTGCTAGGGGAGGACATGGAAGTGAAACAGGTTGGGCAAGGTAGTGAAGAATGTGTATAGTGACTATGACAAAAAAAAAGACGGGTGGGCATAGAAGGGAAAGGGGTAAGTATGGAAGAGAAAAGAGAGAGAGAGAGAGAGAGTGGATATGGAAGGGAAGGGGTAGGCATGGAAGGGGGCAGAATGGTCATAGGAGGGTGAGTATGAAATGGCTTCTGTACTCTACATGGGAGAGTGGTTATCATACGTGGGATATCGAGGAGTGGGCAGCGGTGGAGAGTTAGCGTGGTTAAGGGTTGGAGTGAGACATAGTGAGCATGAGAGTCAGACATAGTGAGCATGAGAGTGAGACATAGTGAGCATGAGAGTGAGACATAGTGAGCATGAGAGTGAGACATAATGGCCATGTGAGTGAGACATAGTGAGCATGAGAGTGAGACATAGTGAGCATGAGTGAGACATAATGGCCATGTGAGTGAGACATAGTGAGCATGAGAGTGAGACATAGTGAGCATGAGAGTGAGACATAATGGCCATGCGAGTGAGACATAATGAGCATGAGAGTGAGACATAGTGAGCATGAGAGTGAGACATAATGGACATACGAGTGAGACATAGTGAGCATGAGAGTGAGACATAATGGGCATACGAGTAAGACATAGCGAGCATGAGAGTGAGACATAATGGCCATGCGAGTGAGACATAGTGACCATGCGAGTAAGACATAATGGCCATGTGAGTGAGACATAGCGAGCATGAGAGTGAGACATAGTGAGCATGAGAGTGAGACATAGCGAGCATGAGAGTGAGACATAATGGCCATGCGAGTGAGACATAGTGAGCATGAGAGTGAGACATAATGGCCATGAGAGTGAGACATAGTGACCATGCGAGTAAGACATAATGGCCATGTGAGTGAGACATAGTGAGCATGAGAGTGAGACATAATGGGCATGAGTTGCAGGGCACACATAGTCTGATAAAGTATGTACATTAAAGAGGGGTAGATGGGCACAAAAAATAGATGGGCAAGGAAAGGGAATATAGGCATGGGAAAGAGAGAAAGAGAGAGAGAGAGAGAGAGAGAGAGAGAGAGAGAGAGAGAGAGAGAGAGAGAGAGAGAGAGAGAGAGAGAGAGAGAGAGAGAGAGAGAGAGAGAGAGAATTAGCAAGGGAGAGAACGAACAGGGGGGGGGGAGAGAAGGACGATGAGAAACCATTTATAAACGTTGCGAGAAGGACAAATCCACAAGGGCCGTGACGAGGATTCGAACCTGCGTCCGGGAGCGAGAAGGGCTGACATAAGAGAGAATCCCAGCAGATATATGAAGCTTTTAACGCTTAAAGATCTAACTCGATGGTAACTAGCCCGGGTCCAAGAGCTGAGGTCCAACACTGAGTTGACCCACTGGCTGGGTGGGTGACCACGTGACCAAAGGAAGAGTAAAGGGATAATAGGAAGTGAAAGGGAGAGGAGGAAAGATGGAGAGAGAGAGAGAGAGAGAGAGAGAGAGAGAGAGAGAGAGAGAGAGAGGGGGGGGGGGAGGGGTAGAATAGGCAATGATGGTAAAGGGAAAAAAATGGGTAATAGAGACCCCCCTATTGCAAGCCAAAAAGCGACCTCGCTATAATGAACCAGTAGATGCAAAGTAGAATGACTAATCTACCCAAACTCTCCAACAACACCAACAATAACAACAACAACAACATTATCCCAATCAACAACAACAAAAACCAAGCCTCCAACAAACCAACAACAATTAATTAGAGAATATAATCAAAATAAAACAAAATCCCCCATTCAACCCATGAGCAATTCACACACCCAAAAAATAAAATTAAACAAATATACGCCAGTTATCTAACACATGTATAAACAAGTTACGCACAGATGCGTACCTCGGGGTCGTAGTACAACCATCTCCAGGAGGGGGGGGGGAGGGGAGAGGTAGCTAGTTACTACGCGCGTAAGATCAGTGAACGGGATTTTTTGACTGAAGGAAATTCTCAGAATGACATCCTGTCTCATATGGGGAAATACAGGGAATCAACATCTCGCCCTCCGCTGTTGCCAGATTTTCTATCAAAAAACTTAATATTAGTGATTTAAATGATCAATGATAACTCCAATTTCATGTTTCGATCCAGGACAATATTGATATTGTTATTATAGGGAATATGTAACGAGGATATATATGGTTTATATGTATTGATAATTTTTTTTTAAATACATGTTAGCAACTTTTGGGAGCGTGGTGATGATTCATGACGTCATGGATGTGACGTCAGACCTGAAAAGCCAATCACGAGGTGTCTACCCAGCTTATTTGCTTTACTTGTTTAATAACATTTCACCGGACATTCGCAAGTTACATATTATTACCTACGGAAACACATTAAAATATACATTTAATAATATCTTTACAGGTCATTTCAGAAGATAAACATGAGAGAAAACGTCAACAAACCCCCCCCCCATACATTAAGTGTAATTCAAATTAACGGAAAAAGCGCCGCCTACACTGACATCCCATTTACAAATATATAATATTAAACCCATAGTAACATGAATTACGAAAGAAATAGTAGGCAAATAGTGCGAAAATTAACCTAAATTAGAAGTGGCAGAAGAGAGCGTTGGCGTGCGAGATCTTCCCGCCAAAATCGTCAACAGATGGCAGCACCCGTCCTCCTAGAGGCCTTAATGACCCCCCCCCCCCCCCGCAGCCCCCCCATTCACGTCAGCATAAACAAATGACGCAACACTATCAAACTTCCCCTCTGGTGTGAACCGGGGCATTGATATTCCAATTCACCCTGCGAAGAGGCCCAGAAGTCCCCGTACAATACGGGTAAACCGGTGAAAATCTCAAGATAAAACGGTATTCACCGCTCACATCTTGACAGCATCTGAGGCTCGTACGTCTGGCAGGCCGAGGAGGGGGGGGGGTGTGTGTGCTAGTAACATCTCTTCTACTCGAGATTTACCGCCAAATTTGCTCGTTACATGAAGAGCTCAATGAAAGAAAAGGTCAGTGACAAAAGCAGTTTAATATGGAATAGTTCCAAAAGTCAGAGAGCAAAGTAATTTTTGCAACTAAACTAGACTGAAAACTTACACCAACAGCGTCACTAGTTGTTATATAAGCCGAGAGTAATTTACTGCGCCAATTGGCTATTATATTACCCAGTAAACGACCTAACAGCCGGTTAAGCCATTCACAATGAGTGAAAATGATAACTACTTCTCTTAAAAAAAAAACAGATTAATCCTCCTCAGTGATATAATTTACATACTAATGACTTTAATTAACTTTATGTATAAAAATTATTCACAACAACAGGTTCTCATGTGAACTTATAAATAAAATTATTATAATTAATTAATAAAGATCTTAATTAATAATTACTTATACTGTACTACTACTGTATAGATGTAGTAGTATACATCTATACTACTGTATAGATGTATACATCTACTGTATAGATGTAATTAATAATTACATCTATACAGTAATTAACAATATCTTAGTATTATTTTAAAATTGTATAATAATATATAGACATATATATATATATATATATATATATATATATATATATATATATATATATATATATATATATATATATATATATATATATATATATATATATATATATATCAATTTACAAATATTATATATAGCTTGAGTTTAAAATCTTCCCTTAGCGAAGTCAACAATTTTAGAGTAAATATAAAAATTTTAAAAAGTAGTTTAACAAAATAAATGTCTAAATTGCAGATGTAAAATAGACCTATATATCTATTATAGTTATATGCCTTCGACAGTTGAAGTGGAATGCAAGCACAAAGAGCATAATTATAAACATTTAAGAAACAGTAAGATAGCCTAATTGTCTTATATCTAAACAGATATGCTTAACCCATTAGAATTGACTAATGACTGTTGCACATGATTTGTTAATGAAATATCAGCTAAAATATCATAAAGTGATTAAGATATCAGAGAAAATATCATAAATTTATTAATATATTGGATGAAATATCCTAAGATATTAAAACGAAATTGAACCTGTTTAGTTGAAAATTGAACCTCTCTATATATATTATAATATATATATTATTCTCATATGACGTTGTGTCTTGAAGCCAAAAGGTGGAGAGAAAACTTAGCTTTTCGTTATAAACGAACAAAAAATACGACACTGAACTTCCGGTGAAGATCGCAAAAATTCCCCCCAGAGAGTGTGAGGTGGGGCAGCCGGCCCCCGGGAGCGCCTCCCTCCTCCCCCAGCCGGCCCCGGGAGCTCAATGGAAGTGTGTGTGCTCGGAACCCAATCTCCAGGCGACTCCCTACGTCACCCGTGACGTCATTAATTTACAGATGCCAGTTCGCTCTTTCCTTACCGGGGCCTCATTTTCCAATCATTTATGAGGGATTTACACACACTGAATCTCTATATATTTTCAGATGTGGTGTTATTTAAGACTGCAATAAGTTGATTAATAAGAACTCGTTAATTGTAGGATAACAATTGAACGCTGGTGATAGCTCGTATTAGCTGACAGCATGATATCATGTCGGAATATTTGGTATGTCATTATTATTTGATACGTTATTTTTTTTAACATTTATTTATAAAACTAAACAAAGTACCATATGCCGACACTTTCACTAAGTACGTCTGTTCCCCGCCGAAGTTCCTCGTGGAATGATATAAGCTGTCCGGATAGGCAAATGCGCATGCGCAAGATGGTATATATATGCGTCGCTGGCCCCGAGTTTCTTCAGTACCCCACTAGTGGCTCTCCCGGTAACTTCTCTGCTGAGAGACTAGTTAGTTCTACTATTGTAGCGTAGGATCTATCGTACTACAACAGTAGAACATTTTCGAACTAGTGGTAGTGGTTTGAAGGCACGACGGCGGCCTTTACTGATTATTCGTGTGATTGGGGTGAAAATATCGGCGCGCTGGAGGACAGTCGGTACGGAGCTGGCGTTTCGCCATGCCCACAGACAAATATGGAGTCCCCACAGCTGTATGACAGTGCAGACTACAACAAGAAGAGCATCGTTAGTGCCGTCAAGGTCAAAAACGGCAACCTCTTGTACTCGAACGACGACTACAGCGACCTGGCAGAGCTGAGCGCGCCGGAAATCTCGCTCGACCTACACAATCTCATCGACGACTCGCAGTTCAACGAAGGCCTTATCCAGGACATACAGGGATTGAGCGTGGACAAGAACAGCGCCCCTCGAGGCCTCAGCGTCAACAGCATGTACAACCCCCTAGCCTACCTACCCCAACCCGTCCACGGTGCTACCCAATTCGACCGTCAATACCCAGACCGGAGTCAAATGGACAGGCGGGTGATCAAAGAGGAACCACACGAATCGCAACAGGATCTCACGCCGCACGAATACAGCGCCTGTGCCCGGGTAGGAGGTGCCAGTGGGTATGGTGCCCATTACACTGGTGTGCCTGCCTACTCCAATATGACCCCCACCACAGTGCCTGGCGCCGACGGACTCTGCAGATCACCGCTCAAGTCCCCCAGCGGAGGCAAAATGATGCCAGGGTGTAAGAAGAACGTTGACAAGGGCAGTGACGAGTACAAGCGACGACGAGAGAGGAATAACATCGCTGTCAGGAAGAGTCGTGAGAAGGCGAAGGCCAGGAGCCGAGAAACAGAGGAACGAGTTAAGGTGAGACACGCTCTTCTTGTTCTTAATCACCCCTTAACAGTTGTCTCGTTATTCTAGCACCATTAACAGCCCTCCAGGTCATTCTAGCACCCTTAACAGCCCTCCTGGTCATACTAGCTCCCTTAACAGTGCTCTTTGCCTTGACCAAATGACCGTTTTCGTCACTGTTACAGCTGTACCAGTCGTCATATGTGTAACACCCTGACAACCATCTTGGTGACTGTAACAGCCTTGAAATCTGTCCTGGTCATTGAAGTCCCCCCCCCTCTCCCCCCCCCCTTCCCATGCTCATTACATAATACCCTTAACAACCCTGAAATGTTACTGTACTACCGTAACTGCACACACACTTGGTAATTACAGCATCCTAATGACCTTCCTTGGTTAGGAACATCATCGACTCCCCCTCATTCTAATCACCCATTAGGGGTCAAGGTAATACACACACACACACAGCTTAGTTTCGTGATGATTAACTCATTCTAGCCTAGTTGGCTGCCCTTCACGGCTGCCGACCCTCTGCCAAACCCTTACTGGCACCCACTGGCATCTCCTCCCAGCATTTCCTTCATTTCCACCTAGCTCATCTCAAGCATTGGGCATTTCTACCCCAGCATCTCGGGGACTCAGCCAGTTTAGCCTAATGACTTATATGAACGTCAAATTACGTTCATTAGTTGATGCCGAGGTTAGCTTGGAGAAACACATGTTCCCACACGCAATGGATGAGTGTGTATGTGTATGTGTAGATGTATATGTATTAAAAAGAGTTATAGGAAATTCCCCTGTGAGTTAGGTTTACGCCCACATGCAGGAACAGGTGAAGTTGGAAGGGTATGTGTGCCTGGAGGAATAACTTAACTGCTGAGTGATGTGTGTGTGTATGTGTGTGTGTGTGTGTGTGTGTGTGTGTGTGTGTGTGTGTGTGTGTGTGTGTGTGTGTGTGTGTGTGTGTGTGTGTTCAAACATGTCACAAGACAGGAAGCTTAGAGAGGTCTTTATCTTTGATAAGTTCTATACACCCCCCAGACATTTACGATGACAACCCGCATGTTTCTTGGGATCAAACAAGTAAAAACAAGTTGGTGAGGCTAAAGTTGCGGGCCTGCATGATTCAGCGTGTGTGTGTGTGTGTGCGAGCGCGCGTGTGTGTGTGGGTGCGTGTGTACGTATGAGCGTTGAGGCGGTGGGCGGGGCCAGGTTGGGGGATGCCAAATGTCGGCAGTCAGAGAAGACATCCAAACCGGACCTTGTGTAAATTTCCTTTCATTTGTGACTTAGAAGGAGCGGTTCGCTGATTACAGTTACAATTCAGTAGCTGAACTGTCTATCCCGCACACTTTGACATAAGTTAAGACTGTAAGAGGGGGGGGTGGGGGGGCATGGGGGTGATTTAGAGTACTGGGAAGTATGTTTAAAACATCCTCATCCACCTGTTTCCATCTGGGAAGATTTGTCTTACTCAGTAAATCCTTGGCGTGGATGAGTCATGCTGTGGGACTAGTCCTACCTTAGATGAGTCATTAGCGCTTCTGGGGGAGAGAATCTGTCCATACTAAATGTATGGACTGTATAAATGTATGTATGGACATACAAAATACCACCGCTAGTTAGCCTTACAGATACCAAATGATGAACAGTTAACACACGTAACAATACAGATGCAACTATGTTAGCGTAAGAATATATATTATTTACAAGTGAATTACATAAACATTTATCGTTATATAGACTGTAATAACGCAAGGTGACAACGCTAACGAAGTCTCTCTCTCTCTCTCTCTTTCACAGAAGCTGGTCATGGATAACGACAGACTGCATAAAAAATGCGAACTCCTGAGTAAGGAAGTAGCAGTGTTCCATTCTATGTTCGCCAACGTCCACTGCTTGCCCGAGCACGTCCAGAGAGAGCTCCGCAAACAGATGGAAGCTTTCAGCCAACAGCATCAGCATCTTGTGAATATGTGATGCTGGCAGGTCCACGCCCACGACCTTCCATCTTGCGACAGCTCTGATCCTGAGGGCGACTGCTCTCCTCGCTACACCAGTCTCTAGGGTGTATGCGCATGTGTGGACACCGTTTAAAAGCCGCAGCGCTGGCGTGGGCGGCAAACGGAATATCCCACAGGGGTGTGGACATGCCCTTAGGGTGGAGCAGTAGCATAATTGGGAGAAACATGGGAGTGGGAGTGACCACTAGTCACTAATCCCGTCCGCTATTGTTCGGTCAAGTCAGTTGGGTGATCCCAATCCTGTAAGATCCAACTCTTCAGCGGAGCCGTTCGCCACGGCAGATATATATATATATATATATATCAGGGGCATGCTGCCTGTACGCTCTTTCTCGGCCCCGAAGCTGTCTCTCTCGGCCCGAAAATGTATATATTTATCTACTAGTTAGAACCTAAGTTATATGGACAGAGAGACGGTGGACGGTTGAGAGGGGGGACAGGTAGGCCCCAAAACTTGTGATAAAATGGCCCGGGAAGCCTAATCTTCATTCAGACTGTCCCGTTGTAACTGTGTGAGAGACTGGAGTGTGGATGACAGACTGAAAGGTTTGACTTAAAAATATATTTTAACGAATAAAATCAAATTTTTGTATGTTTTATTAAGTATAAATAAATAAAAAATGTTAATAAAAGTATATGATATCAATTACACCCGCACATTTCTCATAATAAAACAAAGAATAACATACAAGCCAGGAGATATATATATATATATATATATATATATATATATATATATATATATATATATATATATTTAGCAAAAAAATATAATATATATAGTTTGAGAATATCACTATAGACAAAGACTAGTTCTTAAGAATGGCTTAGTCTTCTGTACCTACAAATTATTTTCAAGTACAAAATGTCAAAATACAGAATTGCGACCAGTTCAAACAAAAAAAAAAAAACAATATTGAAGACTGCCAATAATTTAGCTGGCTAGCAGTAGAGGTTGATATTTAAACTGATAGACAAATGATGGATAGACTACTGATAGACTATTGATAGCTAGTTAGACTACTAACAGGGAAGTGAAGGCTGGTTGAACATGATACAGTTTTTACAATTTAATTTTGTAAATTTACATCGACAAGTGCTGTTATAAAGGAATTTTATTGCTCACTTAAAACCTATGTGTGTAATATATATATATATATATATATATATATATATATATATATATATATATATATATATATATATATATATATATATATATATATATATATATATATATCGTGTGCTCAGAATATTAATATCAAATTGAGCTTATAAAAAGCCTAGCACCATTTAGGCTTGTAGGATCAGTGCAGTTATATTCAGGCTTTCCACTGAAAATGTGAATTTAGACTTGACAAAAACATTGGCGATAGCACCGCACTGTCAAAGTGTACCATTGAACACTACTGTCAAAAGTGTACCCTGAACACTGCTGTCAAAAGTGTACCCTGAACACTGCTGTCAAAAGTGTACCCTGAACACTGCTGTCAAAAGTGTACCCTGAACACTGCTGTCAAAAGTGTACCCTGAACACTGCTGTCAAAAGTGTACCCTGAACACTGCTGTCAAAAGTGTACCCTGAACACTGCTGTCAAATGTGCCCCTGGAACACGGCCGTCAAACATGTGATAGTGTATACGCGTAATAGCACATCAGAACACAGTAACTACGACATTTCCTCATACATCATCTGTGGCCAAACTGATTTAACAAGAAAAAAATAGTGAACGCTGTTAAAACTGCGCTGTTAACCCTGGATTTGTATACATTTACAAGTACATTTACATTTACAAACAAGTGCCACTGTCATATAGGGTGAAGGGTGACATAAACAGTGCCACTCAGCTGATTTCTAGAGTGCTAACTAGCGTCAGTATAACTAAACTGAAGTCATTGTAACGTAACTGAAGTCAGTGTAACGTAACTCGCTCACCAATGGTAATTTTTTTTTCTAGTTTTGCATAATTTATCAGTTGGTTTTTAGTGTATTGGTGAGCGAGGATTGACTGGGCCAGTTTCTCAGTCTGCATCTGATTCTTCGTTTATCAACTTCACTGAAATGAAATTGTATCGATTTTTTTTATGGTGCTTCAGTTGGCTTAATCACTTTGGATGGTTTTTTTATTATTATTTGACGAAAACATTTGTGCTTTGGATGTTCTGTTGTGCATAGTTCTGTTGTCTGTTAACGTACCCATTCGTAGTGTACAGGCCATCCTGTTGTTGTTAAAGATTCGCTACCTAGAACAAAGTTCCAAGTAGCACGGGCTATGGTGAGCCCGTAGTGGACTTAAGGTGCGTGGCAGCCACCTCTGGTATTCACTTGTCAGTGTTATAAGCCTTTTTCGTGAACTATAAGACTTTATTACTATTGATACTGTATGAGATTATTTGTTCAGTCTCTGATATGTGTGTGTGTATCCCCTGGGCAGTCCAGGAACGGTGGTTCAAACCCACACCATAACCCCAATATTTTTTTTTAAATCATAGATCATGTTCTCGTGATTTCATTGCCTTTAGTACTGTAATTTAAGTCTTCATCTAGTTCCCTGAATTTTGTATTTATACTGTGGAAATTAATGGTACATCTGTAACATATTCTCGTCAATCTCAAATACAGGAGGAGGCTGCAGGGTCTGTTTTAAAACCCAGCAGGATTCTCTGATCTCCCACGAGACCTGTATTGTGCTGTATTTATGTAATGGTGTGCATCAGTGGAGCTCAGATTGTCTTGAAGACTGCAGCTAATGTGTATCATTCTTAAAGATCCTGTCCATTCCATATCAGTGTAATTATTCCATATTCAAATGTTTTGTAAATATGACAAAAAATTATGTTTATGTATGTTTTTCATTGCTGTATGTTAAAAGATAGTTATGGTGTGTCGAGACAGATATTTTTAAGTATGGAACAAGACAGTTGTTTACACTATGTAGAACCCTCACGGCTAGTTCTGATGAGGAGGTATAGATAGGCCTATAGTCCCATCATTCCAGCAGTCCTGAGCCTACTAGCTAGCTGCCCCCTCTTCCTCAAAGCTAGCTAGTTGCAATTCAGGACTGTTATGTTAGTTCTACAAAAACTATTCTGTGAAAATCTCTCTCTCTAACTTGAAATTTAATTGACAGTTTCCAGCTAATTTATGTAAATCCCACCACCTTAAATATAAATTATTTTACAAACTGTATTCGCTTTTACTATACAAATATGAGGATTACGGTGAGTACAAATACAGGAATGGTCTTAAATCCTTGAACCTGTACCCAAGATTCAAAAAAGCCATTATTTGCATATTCGCACTAAACGTTAATGTTCGACCGATCTCTTAGGTGATCAACACCACTGTGACTGTCAGCGTTTCGCATCTGTTTGTTGTCATCATCATGTTATTATAGATTGTTTTTATCGAAATGTTATACTAAATGCGAATGTTGTTATCTGTACCCGAGTACAGTATTGTCAGGTCCCGTGTCCCCGAGTCAAAGACTCCGGCCTTTAATGCTCATTAAAGGAATGGGGAGTTTGCAACAGGGTGAAGGGTGATATCAAAGATCAGGAACGGGTGTTAGGGTGATATCAAAGATCAGGAAGGGGTGTTAGGGTGATATCAAAGATCAGGATGGGGTGAAGGGTGATATCAAAGATCAGGAAGGGGTGTTAGGGTGATATCAAACATCAGGATGGGGTGAAGGGTGATATCAAAGATCAGGAAGGGGTGTTAGGGTGATATCAAACATCAGGAAGGGGTATTAGGGTGATATCAAAGATCAGGAAGGGGTGTTAGGGTGATATCAAAGATCAGGATGGGGTGAAGGGTGATATCAAAGATCAGGAAGGGGTGTTAGGGTGATATCAAACATCAGGAAGGGGTATTAGGGTGATATCAAAGATCAGGAAGGGGTTAAGGGTGATATCAAAGATCAGGAAGGGGTTAAGGGTGATATCAAAGATCCGGAAGGGGTGAAGGGTGATATCAATGATTAGGAAGGGGTGAAGGGTGATATCAAAGATCATGAAGGGGTGAAGGGTGATATCAAAGATCAGGAAGGGGTGAAGGGTGATATCAAAGATCATGAAGGGGTGAAGGGTGATATCAAAGATCAGAAAGAGGTGTTAGGGTGATATCAAAGATCAGAAAGAGGTGTTAGGGTGATATCAAAGATCAGAAAGAGGTGTTAGGGTGATATTAGACTCAGAAAGAGTAGTCAGCATGATATCAAATACTTAGTAAATGTGGTATAAGACAGAATGAATCGCCTGTTATCTAAGGTACGTCGATTCCCAGCTTGTGTACCTACCCTGTGCTCGTTCCGAGGATCAGTGTCCCCGCGGCCCGGTCTCTTGACTAGGCCTCCTAGGTGCGAAAGTGCTAACAAAGTACTAATAGTCGACTTTAATATTCAGTAAGATAGGCCCCATATATATATATATATATATATATATATATATATATATATATATATATATATATATATATATATATATATATATATATATATATATATTTATATTATATATATATATAATATATATTATATTAATTTATA